GTGAACAAACAAAACCACAACAAATGATGCGATCATGCCAAAGGATTTCTCACGTACACATATTTTGGTAGCTCTGCTGGCTTTATATATAAATGGGAAAATGCAATAATTTTATGAAGTAAAATTCATAGAAAAGTGCTGGGATCCATTTTTTTTCTATTTAACGCTAAATGGTACAGTGAAATTCAGATGAACAAAATTGAAATTGATGTTTAAAAGAATGCTTTACATAGCAAGATTTTAAGAAGAGAAAAAAATACAAATACTTTTATAGAGTAGCTTTAGTTATAAATTATGAACCCGAGGAAATATATTATGAACATTTGCAACTGACCCTGCATTAGCAAACAATGTTTTAAGCCAAAATTGTTAAGGAACCAGGGATTGAAACAGTACCAAAGTTGGGCCCTAGAAAGATTTTCTACTAGTTGCTTCATCTTTTCCCGTGCCGTAATGTTGAACCAGAGCCTTAAACTGGTCAATGTCTAGAAAACGTGAGTCACTTTTAAAGTACCACTGTTTTTTATACACTGGTAGAGCGTTTTTGAACTTGTGACCGCGATTTGATGTATGGATTTAACGAAAAGTCACATGGAGAGTGGTCAGGGCTATAAGCAGGATATAGCAAAATCTCAATCTTTGCTCCTTTAAATAAGCTAGAACCAAGACTGATCGGTGCGCAGATGCACCATGATAGTCATTGAGTAATTTGATCCCGCGCATCCCGGGCCTTGGGTTCTTTGTAATGTATTGATTAACTACAGCAGTGAGAACATGGTCACGGTAAAATGTTCCTGTAACACTACCCCTTTCTGGCACAACGACACGGGCCATCTATGTTTAGCACTCCTGCTACGTCGAGCAACAACTGGGCGATCGCTGTTTTTTGTTACCGAGTTTATTGTTGGGCTCAAAAAATAAATAAATAAATAAATAAAGCCACGTTTCATCCCCTGTGACAATTTCTCTCGGGCGTCTAGTGTCTCGGTCTCTTCGAAGCTAGTCAATAAGGCCGAGGCTTTTTCAACCCGCTCCCTTTTCGAAAGGAAAACACATATGACGCCCTCAGGCCCGATATGTAACTTATCTCCTCCACGGTATATTTTGCATCTTCATGTTAGAAAAATCAATAATCTTTCCAACTGCATATATACATGTCATTGCACGTGCAAATCACGGTTAAATTTAGTTATTGCCACGAATTTAAATATGCCCCTCGTATTTTGAATAGGAAAGGATTTCAACAATCTTATTTTGTTCAATTCTTATTACAAGTCTTTGCTGTAGGTAATTTTAATGCACTATTGAATGGACTTAACTGAATAGTGTAAATTACTGTATGTCCTGGTCATAACCATACAAACATGTGCTCTTTTGTTAACATGTTGTGGGGAAATTCTTATTGTTTTCACTAATCTGATAATTAGAATTGGGCAGGTCATGGATCTATGCATTCTAGCCGGGCAGCCAATTTCAAGTTAGCAACCTTAACTACTGCCTCACTGGGGCTGTAAAAACAAATTTTAAGACTTTTCTACACAGTAAAAAAAATACAAAGGAACATTTTTATTTATGTTTATTATTCAACATTGTGAATATTGCATAAGTTCATTACAAAGCTTTTATCAAATTAAAACAACTTTCACTAAAACAAATCAATACATGCCTTTTACAAATTACAAATGTACAAGTAAAATTTAATATTGTATTTACTTAACTGTTTTAATAACATTGTGAATATCTTTAAACAAGAGGGCTAAAATAGCCTTAGTCTACTCACCTGATTAAAATATATAGTATCAAAGTCTTTAAAAAAAGAATATTAACTAGAAAATAAATCATAAACTGACTTGCAGTCTAAATTCATGATCATTGTTTTGCATATAGGCATCAAAAGATGTCATTTTGCTTCCCTAGAAACAATATTTAATATTTAAAGGTCAGTTTTTGGGAAGCAGCCATTAGTTTTGAGAGCACATTTTCTGATACTGTAAATACATTGAAATATATCTGCTAGGATGTTAAAAATTATACTAAAATATCAGGAGATAAATAAATTGTAATTATTAATTAAAATTTATTTCCATTTTAATAGTCCATACAATATATAAATATTATTACGAAAATAAAGCTGAAAATCTAAAACAAGAGGGCCATGATGGCCCTGAGTCGCTCACCAGAAACAACTGCTTTTCAGTGTTGGAATGTCAATATATTCTCATATTAAACTTGAGCATAGAATATGTTTAAACAATAATTTGAAGAAATGCCATGACCTGGGGCATTTAGCTAATCAAATTAATATGAGCAAACTTGATAAAAGACTACTTAAGAATGCTACAAAGTTTGGTGATCATCTATCAATTATTTCAGTAAGAAACGATGTTTGAAGATTTTTTCTATTTTTAGCTTTAGTGGCCCCTAAAAGGGGCTAATCAAATTAGTTTAAGCAAACTTGATAAAAGAGTACCCAAGAATGCTACAGACAAAGTTTGGTGATCATCCATCAATTGGTTCTGAAGTAGGAGATGTTTAAAGGTTTTTCTATTTTTAGCTTTAGCGGCCCCTAAAAGGGGCCAATCAAATTAATGTGAGCAAACTTGATAAAAGATTACCCAAGAATGCTACAGACAAAGTTTGGTGATCATCCATCAATTAGTTCTGTAGAAATAGACATTTAAAGGTATTTCTATTTTTAGCTTTTGCGGCCCCTAAAAGGGGCCAATCAAAATAATATTAGCAAACTTGATAAAAGACTACCCAAGAATGCTACAGACAAAGTTTGGTGATCATCCATCAATTAGTTCTCTAGAAATAGACATTTAACGGTATTTCTATTTTTAGCTTTAGTGGCCCCTAAAAGGGGCCAATCAAATTAATATGAGCAAACTTGATAAAACACTACCTGAGAATGCTGTGGACAAAATTTGGTGATCATCCATCAATTAGTTCTGTAGGAGAAGGTGTTTAAAGGTTTTTACTATCTTTAGCCCTAGAGACCCCTAAATGGGGCCAATCAAATTAATATGAGCAAACTTGATAAAAGACTACCCAAGAATGCTACAGACAAAGTTTGGTGATCATCCATCAATTAGTTCTGTAGAAGAAGATGTTTAAAGGTTTTTCTATTTTTAGCTCTGCTGACCCCTAAAAGGGGCCAATTGGAATGACATGAGCAAATTCAAGTGTGATTGTCACAAGGATGCTACAGACCAAATTTGAAGTAAATCTGCCCAGTAGTTTCAGAGAAGAAGACGATTGTTGACGCATGACGACGGACACCGGAGCATCCCCCTTTGATACTAATAGCTCACCGAGCCTTTGGCTCTGGTGAGCTAATAAAATATACTTAAAAATGTTGTTTCTTTCTCTTGTTTTTACATTTTCCTATGAAAATGGAGAATTCCACATTCGGCACTTTAAATTTGCTGGGGAAAAAAGGACAAATCAATGCATCTGATAAATCCTACTTTGTATTGAAACTCAAACGATTGGCTTACAAGCAAATAATTATTTGGCTTCGTGGTCCAGAGCATTGTGTTTACAAGTGGCTTTACAATCCAAGGCACAAGTTTAAATCCCACACAAGATGGGATTTTTTTTTACACATGCAGTAGCATTTTTGAAATGTTCATTATACAATTTAAAAACATACCAATACAAAAATGTCATACTCTTTCAAACAAAAAGTGTGTATATTGAACAAGAACAATTTCTTTCCTATCAAAGTGTCACATATTTCATGAGAGAAACTTCACTGGAAACTAAATGAAATCATAAATTACAGGAAAGTAAATATTGAGGAAAAAAAAAGAGATACATTTCATTACCACACAGATGGTTTGGAATTCAATATAAAATTGTATGCAGTGTACATTATCAGAACTTTAGTCTGTTTATATTTACTAGCAACTTTTTCCCCAGTTAGTTGTTTCAAATTATGAAAGACTTAATTTGATGATTTATAAAAACATATTCTTAATTGAGATTTAATTGATATGAATCTATACTTAACCAGTAATTTAAATAATGAAATATTAGGTTTAAAGGAACTCCACTGACACTTTTCAATTCTGGGTCATTTTTCAGAAAAAAATTATTCAAGAAAACGAGTGAAATGTTCTAAAACTTTGCACACAATTGATCTACACCTACATCAAATGGAACATTAATCTCGTAAAAATTATTTCTCATCCAATCATGTAAAAAAAACCTCTGTGGAGTCCCTTTAAGGAAAAAAAGAAAGTTCTTCTGTGCATAGCTTTAGTACTTTGATTTTTCTCAACTATGACAAGCCCATCTAAAAATCACTGATAAAATATAAGACAATAAAAATATTTATTATTTACATTTAACTTGACAGCAATATATGTTAATTTTATCATACATGTACTTAATCGGCAAAAACAAATTAGTCAGTAGCAAATATTTCTTCTTCATGTTTGGGGAATGATGCCACAGTATAGTGACATTACAAAATGAAGTTCCGTCTATTGCCTACCTATAAATTTGTGTGTACATGTACATGTAATTTTACTGGGGAGTCATTTGTACCAGCTGTCATTTGTACCAGCCATAAATTACCTAAGATAACAGGTTGAGTAAATTAACATTTATTAAGAGTATAAATGTTCTTAACCTTCACTGAAATATGAGTGTGGGTATTAAACCACAAAATAAAACAATATAGATATATGAAAAAAAAAAGCACTTAAGATAACTTTTCTTGTTTTTTTTTTTCTTCTGGTTTTTTAAAACCAATTTTAACACATTTTTGGTTGTATCTTGGTGGTAGGTCATCTAACCATATTTACCTTTACTGGAGAACCAGTACTCTACCAATTTTTCTGCAACTGACTTACTACTTATCTTACTAAATGTTGAGATCAATTATCACAGAGAAATTTTGCCTTCCCTGAAGATCATACCAATGATTACAAATCTGATGTTGTCCATATTTTTCTAAGCGGATGGACTAAATGAAGAAAGTAAGACGTACATGTATGTTTTCATTTATAATGAGATACTGTTATATCACAAGCTTATAGTTAAAATAATTTTATTTCCTTACATAAAACAACAAGTGAGTGTATTTAGTTAAGTAAGAAAAAATCCATTGCTCACATCATTATCACTGCGTAATATTTAACATTTCTATTTCATAAGTAAAGTTTCTATGGCCATAAAATCTTTTTTATCTTCTTCTGTGTCTCATTAGCCTGTAAATAAATAAATAAATAAATAAATAAATAAATAGTGGATATTTAGGCTTTTTTTTATAAATACAGGATTTATTTTCATCAAGTGATATGAAATATGATAATTTTCATACCATAAGATGAATTTAAATCTTTTTAATGAACATGAATTTTCTGTTTATTTTATACAATTTTCTGTGTATTGGCTGAATTAGTAGAAAGTCATTCAGCAAGACACCAGTGAAAATATGGAAAATATATTCACTGCAGTGAAAAATAATTTTATACAGTGAAAATACAGAAAATGGAAATTATATACATTTTATTTCATCAATGCTTTTCTATATCTAATATTTATAAGTATATTACAAATCAGGTCCTTCACAATTATTTCACATGAAGTATACATCATGTAAAGAAAGATTTACATTTCAGATATATTAATCACTTAGGCAAGAAAATATTTTATCCTTTAACCTCTGTTAAACAATTATACAAACAAAAGAAAATATCCTTGCCAAGTTTCAATATCTGAACTAGTTTCGGTCCAACAATTTGTTTAACACTAAGCGAAATAATTATATTAAATGAACTTGTCTGTCAATCTGGACTAAACCATCATTTATATGGAAAATTTCAGAAAACTAATGACTGAACAATAAACAGTCCAGACCATGATAACAAGGCATGGATGTGCCAGATGAAGACTAGTTACATTGAATAAAATAATGTTATGCCTGGAGGCCCACATTATATAATAAGGAAATAAATATCAATTTCGAGTGCATTGTTAAAGAATATTAAATGCACAGTAAGAGTTCAAATGTGCAGGAATATAATCACAAAAGCTGATATGCCTCTGTGATAAATTACATTGTACAAAGCATTTGAACGATAAACCATGCATTACTATACTCTATTAATGCAAGAAAAATTAGTATCTATTTCCATTCTAACATGTTAATTAAAAAGAAAATATGTTGAACTACATTGAACATAGAAGAAATTTTCCTGACTTCATTTGGTTCATTGATGTCATTTATGACTTCATATGGCATGTAAGCGTTTGTTTTTCATGCTGTGCATATATCGTGCAATTTTATGCAATTGACTGTTATACATGTATATCTGTTTGATAGGGGAATATTTTGAAACGTGTTAGAATTTTACACAACTTCATTTTGTATCTACACTCATTTAATATCCTCTATAACTTGAAACAAGAGGGCCATGATGGCCCTGAAATCACTCACCTGTATATAGGCCCCTGGGCCAAGGCCAATTTTAAACCAGGGACTTTTATTTGAAAAAACTTGGTAGACACCCATTAGAAGATGTTTCATGATAAATATCTAACTCTAGCTCTTTGGGGTTTTTATAAGAAGATTTTTAAAGTTTTTACTATAAATATATAGAGAAAAACGATGACCCCCCCCCCCACCTGGGAGGGGCCCATTTTGACCCCAGGGCTTTTATTTGAACACACTTGGTAGACACCCATTAGAAGATGTTTCATGATAAATATCTTAACTCTAGCTCTTTGGGTGTTTTACAAGAAGATTTTTTTAATTTTTACTATACACATATAAGGAAAATCAATGACCCCTGGGGAGGGGCCAATTTTAACCCAAGGGCCCTTATTTGAACACACTTGGTAGACACCCATTAGAAGATGTTTCATGCTAAATATCTTAGCTCTAGCTCTTTGGGTTTTTTAAAGATTATTTAAGTTTTTACTATATACATAAAGGGAAAAACAATGACCCCTGGGGCAGGGCCAATTTTTACCCCAGGGCTTTTATTTGAACAAACTTGGTAAACACCCACTAGAAGATGTTTCATGCTTTATATCTAAGTTTAGCAATTTTGGTTTTTAAAAGAAGATTATTTAAGGTTTTGCTATATATAAACAAGATATGTTTGTAAAACATGTATGCCCCCTATCAGCAGCCAATTAGTCATGTGATAAGGTTATTATGCATGACTTCTGACCCAGTGATCAAACAATTAATAAGGGTTATCAAGTATCTACTGGTCATGACCTTAACCTTTGACCCCTTGACCCAAAACTCTATAGGGGTCATCTGCTGGTCACGACCAATCATCATACAAAGTTTGAAGTTCCTAGGCCTAAGCGTTTTTAATTAATTGATCGGAAACCGTTTTTATCTTCAAGGTCAATGTGACCTTGACCTTTGACCCCTTGACCCCAAAATCAATAGGTCATCTGCTGGTCATGACCAATCACCATGCCAAGTTTGAAGTTCCTAGGCCTAAGCGTTCTTAAGTTATTGATCAGAAACCGTTTTTACTTACAAGGTCAATGTGACCTTGACCTTTGACCCCTTGACCCAAAACTCAATAGGGGTCATCTGCTGGTCACGACCAATTATCATACAAAGTTTGAAGTTCCTAGGCCTAAGCTTTTTTAGTTAATTGATCGGAAACCGTTTTTACCTACAAGGTCAATGTGACCTTGACCTTTGACCCCTTGACCCCATAATCAATAGGTCATCTGCTGGTCATGAACAATCACCATACCAAGTTCGAAGTTCCTAGGCCTCAGGGTTCTTAAGTTATTGATTTGAAAGCATTTTTACCTACAAGGTCAATGTGACCTTGCCCTTTGACCCCTTAACCCCAAAATCAATAGGGGTCATCTGCTGGTCATGACCAATCACCATACCAAGTTTGAAGTTCCTAGGCCTAAGGGTTCTTTAGTTATTTATAGGAAACAATTTTTACTTACAAGATCAATGCGACCTTGACCTTTGACCCCTTAACCCCAAAATTAATAGAGGTCATCGGCTGGTCATGACCAATCACCATACCAAGTTTGAAGTTCCTATGCCTTAGGGTTCTTTCGTTATTGATCAGAAACCGTTTTTACCCAATAGGTCAATGTGACCTTGACCTTTGACCCCTTGACCCCAAAATCAATAGGGGTCATCTACTGATCATGACCAATCACCATATCAAGTTTGAAATCCCTAGGCCTAAGGGTTCTTTCGTTATTGATCGGAAACAGTTTTTACCTACAAGATCAATGTGACCTTGACCTTTGACCCCTTAACCCCAAAATAAATAGGGGTCATCTACTGATCATGACTAATCACCATATCAAGTTTGAAATCCCTAGGCCTAAGGGTTCTTTCGTTATTGATCGGAAACAGTTTTTACCTACAAGATCAATGTGACCTTGACCTTTGACCCCTTAACCCCAAAATCAATAGAGGTCATCTGCTGGTCATGACCAATCACGATACCAAGTTTGAAGTTCCTAGGCCTTAAGGTTCTTTAGTTATTGATCGGAAACCGTTTTTGCTTACAAGGTCAATGTGACCTTGACCTTTGACCCCTTGACCCCAAAATCAATAGGGGTCATCTACTGGTCATGACCAATCACCATACCAAGTTTGAAGTTCCTAGGCCTTAAGGTTCTTTAGTTATTGATCGGAAACCGTTTTTGCTTACAAGGTCAATGTGACCTTGACCTTTGACCCCTTGACCCCAAAATCAATAGGGGTCATCTACTGATCATGACCAATCACCATACCAAGTTTGAAGTTCCTAGGCCTTAAGGTTCTTTAGTTATTGATCGGAAACCGTTTTTGCTTACAAGGTCAATGTGACCGTGACCTTTGACCCCTTGACCCCAAAAAACAATAGGGGTCATCTACTGATCATGACCAATCACCATACCAAGTTTGAAGTTCCTAGGCCTTAAGGTTCTTTAGTTATTGATCGGAAACCGTTTTTGCTTACAAGGTCAATGTGACCTTGACCTTTGACCCCTTGACCCCAAAATCAATAGGGGTCATCTACTGGTCATGACCAATCACCATACCAAGTTTGAAGTTCCTAGGCCTAAGGGTTCTTTAGTTATCACTCGGAAACCATTTGGTCTACGGACCGACGGACCGACAAGTGCAAAGCAATATACCCCCTTTTCTTCGAAATGGGGGCATAAAAAGGAAAATCAATGACCCCCTGGGGTGGGGTCAATTTTAACCCCAGGGCTTTTACTTGAACAAACACTAGAAGATGTTTCATGCCTAATATCTAAACTCTAGCAATTTGGGTTTTTTTAAAGAAGACTTTTTAAGTTTTTACTATATACAAATAAGGAAAATCAATGACCCCCGGGACAGGGCTAATTCTGACCCCAGGGAATTTATTTGTAAAAACTTGGTAGACACTGACAAGATGATGTTTCATGCCAAATATTTAAGCTCTAGCTCTTTCGGTTTTCTAAAAGAAATTATTTTAAGTTTTCTCTTTCTGCTTGGAATTAAATTCTTTGAACAATTTTTAAAGTTGACTACCAAAGGAACATTCCTGTGAAGTTTGGATGAAATTGGCTTAGCAGTTTATGAGAAGATGCCCTTTAAAGTTAAATTTTACGGATGGACAGACTATGGCAGAAAAGCGATCACAAAAGCTCACCATATCACTTTGTGACAGATCCATGTCACTTTGTGACAGATGAGCTAAAAACTTTCTCAGCCATTAAAGAGAGGTTATTAAACAAGAGGGCCATGATGGCCCTAGATCGCTCACCTGACCAATCCAACACATCCGAACAATTACCTAGACAAGAATTCTGACCAAGTTTCATCACAGGTGAGTCAAAAATGTGACCACTAGAGTGTTAACAACGATTATCCATATTTGAGCAGCGTGACCTAGTTTTTTACCCAGGTGACCCATATTCTAACTTGACCTAGTAATCATCAGAAAAAATTTTCAGACCAATTTCCAGGATACTTGGATCCAAACAGTAGCCACTAGAGTGTTAACAAGATTTTTCTATTTTTAGCTCCGGTGATCTAGTTTTTCCTGCGAGATGACCCATGTTTAAACTCATCCGAGCAATTACCTAGACAAGCATCCTGACCAAGTTTGATGATAATTGAGTCAAAAATGTGACCACTAGACTGTTAACAAGTTTTTTCCATATTTGGGCAGTGTGACCTAGTTTTTCATCCAAAATAACCCATGTTCAAACTTGACCTAGAAATCATCAAAACAAACTTTCAGACCAATTTACAGGATATTTGGATCAAAACAGTAACCACTATAGTGTTAATAAGATTTTTCTATTTTTAGCTCCTGTGACTTAGTTTTTCATCAGAGATGACCCATGTTCGAACTCATCTGAGCTATCACCTAGACAACCATCCTGACAAAGTTTGATGATGATTGAGGCAAAAATGTGCCGCTAGAGTGTTAACAAGGTTTTTCTATTTTTAGCTCCGGTGACATAGTTTTTCATCCGAGATGACCAATGTTCGAACTCATCCAAGCTATCACCTAGACAAGCATCCTGACCATGTTTGATGATAATTAGGGCAAAAATGTGACCGCTAGAGTGTTAACAAGCTTTTTCTATTTTTAGCTCCGGTGACCTAGTTTTTCATACAAGATGACCCATGTTCGAACTCATCTGAGCTATCACCTAGACAAGCATCCTGACAAAGTTTGGTGATGATTGAGGCAAAAATTTGACCGATAGAGTGTTAACAAGGTTTTTCTATTTTTAGCTCCTGTGACCTAGTTTTTCATCCGAGATCACCCATGTTCGAACTCATCTGAGCTATCACCTAGACAACCATCCTGACCAAGTTTGATGATGATTGAGGCAAAAATGTGACCGCTAGAGTGTTAACAAGCTTTTTCTATTTTTAGCTCCTGTGATCTAGTTTTTCATCCAAGATGACCCATATTCAAACTCATCCGAGCTATCAACTAGATTAGCATCTTGACAAAGTTTAATGATGACTGAGGCAAAAATGTGACCGCTAGAGTGTAAATGAACAAGTCTGGACGGATGACACTGACGGACGACGGACATTCAACGATCCTAAAAGGTCACCCTGAGCAAGCTCAGGTGAGCTAAAAACCTAACCATAGTACTTACAGCCACATCATTCTCTACTGAGTTTTCAGTTTGGACGGGTTTTTTCCCTTCCTTCATTGTCACACTTTCAGGATCACTTTCACAATTATTCGTTAATTTGATCTTTTTCACTGCCTCATTTTCATGTTTCACTTCCTTTCTTTTTTTAATGGTTATGTTATCTAAACAGGAAGAGACCATATCTGATGAAGGTTTAGTACTATTTGAAAGCTTGATTTTCTTCTTTTCAAAGTTGATACAAGATGGTGGAGGTTTTAGCCTATCTCCTGTCCCAGAAGCTGGAAGGTCAAAAGAGGTCAGCAAATTCCCTGTTGATCTTCTGTAAAATAAATGAATTCTTTTATTTCAAAAGGAGTCATGACTATTTCAGAAAAAACTAAAAGGAATATTAAGCTGAAAATTAAGAAAAATTTTCATGCATTAAATTTCGTATTTATTAAAATATTTCAAGAAACTCCAATGAGGTCTAAAAGCTTAAAAACATAAATTTGAAATTCTTACATAGATCACATATGGCATTTAAAACAGACAGATGTGCAAAAGATAATTAGAAAATATACTCATATATAAGTTGAAAATCATATTTTTATGCTATGCTTGGTCAGATTTGAAAGGAATGTTTTTTAATTTTGGGTCAATTTTCACAATTAGAATAATTATATTGTATATTTTCGGTGAGGTACATAATTATGGAAGATCGTTTTGGCAAATATGTAGCCTTGTTAAATAAACCATTTATTATTATTATTATCATTATTTTGGGAAATGCCCCCAGCAAATGATCTAAAAGTTGCACACAAGTTAATTGCTCTACTAGACATATACCAAATGGAACATTTATCTTGAAAAAAATATTTCCAGGCCTGTCATGTCAAAAAAACTCAGTGGAGTCCTTTTAATATCTAAAAGCATTGTATAAACCACAATGTAATCCAAACAGGTATATAATAAGTGATAAGAAAGAGTTCATTTTTTATCTTCTACAAGTGTTTTAATACCTTTTATATTAATAATACGGAAATATTGATCAGGTAGAAAAAAGATTTATAAATGCTCGTTATCATGCTGACGCTGTGTTTAAGTTTTTATAACCCGTAAATGAAACATTTTACCAAGTTATCAAAATTATCAACACTGGCCAAATTTCTAATAAGGTTCGTTTATCAGTATAGTACTATATATTTTTTTTTACAGATTTTCATGAATATTAAATTTAAACCTATTTATTTAAGCTAAATTGTGAAACAAGTTCTTGCAACTTATATTAATCACTTTTGAGTCTGCTTCCTGGAACCAACCAGTGTCCAAGGTAATAAGGAAATTATCTAAGCTCAAACTCAGATCTCAAGTATTTGATTGGTCCAAAACTGCCAGAAAATGTTCACTGACAAATGAAAACTTTGAGATTTGAGACAGAACTTGGGAAAACATTAATAACCTCCAGGCATGTACTCGTATCAGATGTGGGAACATGCTCGTGACCCAAGTAGAGCTTGAACTCATGATCCCTGAGTTGAGAGGCAGAAACCTTAACCACTAGGCCTGGTGAATATTTGAATGAATATTTAATGACATGCTAGCCCATGTGGTATCAGAAAACGTATCATGATACACTGTAACTCAAACAGCAACAACTTTTCTATCAATGCTCGTCATACCTCTTATTTTTTGGTTGATCATCTGACGCTTCATCTGAGGACTCAAGCCTCCGTTTTTTGGAGGCTATGATTTGTTTTTTAGTCATCTCTCGCCCTCGTCTATTTGGTCTGTATTTCCTCTGTGGTAGAGGAATAATATATTCATTGTACAACTCTACCAGCTCGTCCTTGTTTAGCAGTTCCAAAGACTCTGTCTTTATGTATCTCTGAATAAGACAAAATAAAAAAATATATAAATTTTTGATATACCAAATCTTGATTTTAGCAACATTTAAAACGGAAATTCAAAACCGGTTCTAGCCTTCAGGAATACAGTCAAGATGACCAAACCATTGGTGATAGGCCTTTCTAGTAGTTCCTAACAGATTGTATTTGGACAATATGATAAAGGATAGCACATTAAAAAGCTCAAAACAGATTTGATTTTGAACTAGGTACCGTATATCATCTTTTTCAAGTTCATGAATAACAATATACAACGAATCTGACAAAAAGTTTGTCCCATTACAAAATGGCTTCCATTAAGTTACAAAATTTGGAAGTCAAGAGACTACAAAATCTCTGACACTGGAAGTCATATTATATATATAGGTAAAGAAGGAAAAGTAATAGATTTTTGAAGACATATTCAAGGAGTAAATGACACCCAAACTTTCACTGACAGAAGTCCTGAATTGCATGTCTCGAGGTGGGGTCGTGAAAGATGTATACCAAGTTTTAGTTTGAATCATGGTCATTGTGTAGCTATTACCTTTAATAGTACACAATCTAAAATCTGTTCCTGGAACAAATCAGTACTACATGCTTTGTAAGTAATCATAATATAATGTTAATGCTTCAGAAAACAATGACTTGTCCCTGAACCCACATGGGCAGTTATTGTAGATTACCAGCCCAATGTGTAAATTACTCAGCCACACCTTCACTAAATATTAGTAATAGTAAAAGTATACGTCATACTAATTATTTAAAGGATTCTCTTTCTTATTTCAGTATTGACGTTTGGAACAAATTACCTATTACTATCAAACAATGTTCGACTTTACAATCTTTTGAAAACAGCTTTTCTTTATTTTCTAAGTTTACAGTTACTATAATTATATACTTCTTTTTTTTCTATTAAAATATGACCTTAAATGTTGTTCGAAAGTTGAAATTTTGTCCAATGACATCCATCCATTTTTCAAATTCATTTAATCTGTACTAAATTGTCATTAAATTCTATACATAACTGTTAAATCAGCATATAACACTTGCATGTAAAGACAATCAACAACTAAGTAGGTTAGTGTTTGTCAAGTCACCACTCATAACAGATTTAATGTTGACTTAAAAACACTTACCAATACTTTATTTTGATATTAAAACTAGATTTCACACTGCATTGGCATATAAATTTATCAATTTAAACCATTTTAAAACATGCACAAACTTTTATCAGCCAATTATCTTTAAAATGCAACAGATTTATATAACAAGTCTTGGAAACTATCGTTAAGCTTAAAATCATAACGCGGGGAGAGCAAAATAAGAGGGCCATCACGGCCCTAAGTCACTCACCAGAAACAACTGCTTTTCAGTAAAAGATAAAAGACTACCTAAGAATGCTACAGACACAGTTTGGTGATCATCAATCAATTAGTTATGTAGTAGCAGACCTTTAAAGGTATTTCTATTTTGAGTTTCAGCAGCCCCTAAAAGGGGCCAATCAAATTAATATGAGCTTACTTGATAAAAGACTACCCAAGAATGCTACAAAGTTTGGTGATCATCCATCAATGAGTTCTGTAGAAGCAGACGTTTAAAGGTATTTCTATTTATAGCTTTAGCAGCCCTTAATAGGGGCCAATCAAATTAATATGAGCAAACTTGATAAGAGGCTACCTAAGAATGCTACAGACAAAGTTTGGTGATCATCCATCAATTATTAATCCCCTTCGGCATAGCCGAAAGGGGATTATAGGAGTGGCCTAGATGTCTGTCAGTCTGTCCATAACACTTTCCTATCCGCTCCATAACTTTTAAACCGCTGAAAATTTCTTAAAATAACTTGGCACAAGTGATCACCATAATGAGACGATGTGGGAAGCGCAATAATTGGGTTGCGACCCTCAAGGTCAAGGTCACACTTGAGTGTCATTTGTTACAAAATCTACATTTCCTATCTGTCCATAACATTTAAACAGATGCAATGTTTTTAAGATAACGCAGCAGCAATGATCACTATTATGACACCATTGGCAGAGCACAATAATCAAGTCACCTTGAAGGTCAGGGTCACACTCAAAGGTCCTATGTAAAAGCATCTATTTTTCATGTCCGCTCTATAACTTATTGACAATTCAAAGGTTTTAAAATTACTTGGCACAAATGATCCACACTTTGACACATCTATTATATGCAGAGCTCAACATCCAGGTTGCTACCACAAAGTCAAGGTTAAATGTAAATACTTTTTGACTTGTGGAAGATTTAAATAACTTGGCACAAATAATCACCATCGTGAGAATATGTGCTTATGGTATGCATGGCACAACATCAAAGTCATGGTTGGCAAAATGTCAAGAAGTACACATTCATGTTCACTGCGGAAGGGGATTTAGCTGTCCTTCAGACATCATTGTTTCAGTAGGAGATGATGTTCAAAGGTTTTTCCGATCAAATTAATATGAGCAAGCTTGATAAAAGACTACCTAAGAATGCTACAGACAAAGTTTGGTGATCATCCATCAATTAATTCTGTAGAAGAAGATGTCTAAAGGTTTGTCTATTTTAAGCTCTAGAGACCCCTAAAAGGGGCCAATCAAATTAAAATGAGCAAATTTGATACAAGACTACCTAAGAATGCTACAGACAAATTTTGGTGATCATCCATCATATAATTTAGTAGTAGAAGATGTTTAAAAGGTTTCTCCTATTTTTAGCTCTGTTGACCCCTAAAAGGGGCCAATTGAAATGGCATGAGCAAATTTAAATGTGACTGTCACAAGGATTGCTACAGACTCAATTTGAGGCAAATCTCTGCCCATCAATTTCAGAGAAGAAGATGATTGTTGACGCATAATGACGGTGAGCTCAAAAGGGAGGTTTTCACACAAGTATATGGTGTTATTGCAGCTAGTTTGAAATTTGTTTTTATTTTCTGCGAATTATTCAAAATGATTTGTACATTTTCTATCCGATTACCTGAAAATTATTATCCTTATAGTAAATATTCCACTAACTAGTCTATTTAATATATTTTCAGTTTATTCAGGTCAAACGTTTCTATATACAAGTACAATGAATTCATGAGATTGATAAAAAAGAAACTTTTATTGGCATATGGAACAGCTATTGTTTTATTATTTTGAAACAAATTATTTCCATAGTTATCCTTCAGTTCACAATTCACATCAAATGAGTTTTTAAAGTTTTTCAATGAAAGGACTCAATACAAATATAGTTCAATTATATCAATATATATATATATATGTATATCAGTATATGTTCAATTTCATCAATAAATGTTTATAAGAAAATAGATTTATATTGTATTTACATATATCCTATTCAGGATCATTCCCTTATTACACATACATGTACCACTGACTGTCTGTGTACGATTACAAAATATTCATTAAAAATGTATTTGTTTTTGGCAATCTCCTGGATAAGGCCCCTATGTATATTTCAGAAGTAAAACTTGTATATATAGTACACTAAAGTGTGTGTGTATTTGCGTTTATTTATACTCTCCAAGGTTGCCCATATGGGCGAGTCCTCCAGTAGAGTACAAGTCATTTTATTTTTTGGAGGATAGTGCAATTACAGATACAGAAAGATGCCCCAATTCCAGAAGCTTCTCCTGGTTCTTTTAATAGTGTGCCAAGTGTTTAAGCACCCATACACTGAACCTCCATTTAAAGTCTCATCTGAAAGACTGATGAGTAATTTTAGACTAGTTGGCCAGCCCGGGAATCAAATCCACAATGTCGAGATTACACAGCATGCCCACTCAATTTTAAATGTAGGGGTACATGTACCCCCTGTCATTGAAAATTGAGGGTACATTTCAAAATCTGGGGGTACACATAAGTTTAAACATGTTTTTGTTTGTAAGAACATTTTATATAAATGTAGTATAATATAGTATAATTATTGTTTTGTTTTGTTAATATTTTTCATGAAATTATTTCATTTTAATGCATCAACACATGGAAATCGTTTTTTGTTTGTTTGTTTTTTTCACCTTTATACCAAATCAAATTTTATTCTGGTTAAATAAGTCCACTCTATAGACAAAAAGTTTATATTTGTAAAAAAAAACGTAAATGTATATAGGCAGTGTTTAGCGGAATGAATAGGAAAATCGTGTACAGCTTCACACAGTGTGTTAGATTCATCCGATCGACAATTATTTTAGCAAATATCTTCAAAATGGGGGCAAATTGAAGATCGATATTTAAAGATTTAATGCTGATTTAATAATAAAGTAACAATTCATTCTCATGTTTGGCTTGGAAACTGAAAATTTTTGCGAAATTTTAGGGTTTCTGAAATTCCGGCGAACGTGAAATCGTTGATGTTTGGGATCAATTTTCGGATCAAAGAAAAGCGTACGTGTATTTTTGTTAGTTGTCCTGGCATTTCGGCACAATATGTTAAATTATTAAAACTCTTATAGAACGTTTTTGCAAGAATGAAACGAAAGCAAAATTTTGCTTAGAAAGTGCCGAAAATTTCGAGAATAATTCAAAATTACACTCATTTGTAATTTGAGAAAACAGTCTTTAAACTTGTGGCGTAAATAGTTGATATTCTTATCCTTTTGTCGGTAAAATTTGCTAATTTCCAATCAACTGTTGATCAAAGATGTTAAATTATCACCTCGTGTTATATCTGAGTGATAATGATTGAAAGTGTTATCGCTGATTGGCTAATCCCTTCACAGGTCGATGTGCATAGGACCGCCTACCTATAGACTGACACGCGCTGACGTATTTGTGTATTTGTGGTCGTTTGATGCGTCCCCAGGCAAAATTAAGCGTACATAGGCTATCCCAAACATTCATTCTGACGATTTTACTTTGCGTGCATGTACCCCCTGCTTACGATTTTTATGCGTGCATCTAGAATTTTGTGCGTGAATTACGCACTGAAGTGCGTGAATGGGCATGCTGATTACAAGTCTGGCGCTCTAACCGATTGAACTATGCGGGCTGTT